ACAATGACATCGAAACTGTTGTTTAGAATTCGCTCCGTTCTACCTGGATCGATGCATTGGATTCAAACGACCTGGCGACTGCCGCCGTCCATCGGTTGCAGAAGATTTCTTCTTGCGTAAACAATTATTCCAAATGCTTGCTGACCGAAAGAGCACGACCCGCTATCATGACGTTCGGACGAAAAATTCGCTGATGAATGTCGAACAACGTCGATACGGGGTGAACGATAACCGAGCGAACCCGTCGTTGCCTGTCACCGTCGACTGCATGGAAATGTCAAGGGATGCGATGGGAATGAGAAGTTGTTGCGCACATGCATGACAGAGAAAGAGAAACTATCGAAGGCTCTAAGGAATCGAGAATACGAGGGGGAAGGTGTCTGTACCATTCACGGCTAGAGATGCGGTATAACTCGTCCCGCCGGCTGCGTTGCTCACGGAGCACGTGTACTCTCCTGCGTGCGTCGCCGTCACGCCGTCGATCGTCAGCACGCTGACACGCTTACTGGTCTTTACTATCGATATGTCGTATTGATCGCGGGCAATCGGTTCGCCGTTCAAGGCCCACTCGATCTGGATCGGATGATCCCCCTTCAACACCGTGCACGTTGCGGTCACCGTGTCCCCCCAATTTGCCGGCCCCTCTCCGATATCAAACGGCGAGATCTCTGGCGCAACTACGATCAATGGAACAGCGAACACGTTTTACCGGTGGAACGAACTTGGACATTACCCTCCGAGGGAGTTTACCTGGCTGTAGCGCGGTCGCAATCATGGGTACATGATCGAAGATCCTCGATTGTTCCGTGGTGAAACGAAAGGATCGGGGCAGGATGTGTATCTCGAAAGGGGATACGGCGAGGAGAGCTGTCCGGGCGAGCACGTCGGGCATGCATCGAGAGAATATAGCAAACCGCGCGTGCGAAGGAACACGTCATTGTACCGTTCACCGCCAGCATCGCTGTGAAACTCGTCCCGCCGGCCGCATTGCTAGCCGCACAGGTGTATTCCCCGGCGTGACTTGCCGTCACCGCGTCGATCGTCAACAGGCTGACGCGCCGGCTGGTCACGATCGATATATCGGGATAATTACGCGGAATCGGCTCGCCGTTCAGTGCCCATTCGATCTGAATCGGCGAGTCGCCCTTCAACATGGTGCAGGTTGCGGTGACCGTGTCTCCCCAGTTCGCTGGTTTCTCGCTGATCACGAATGGAGCTATCTCGGGGGCAACTAGGACGAACAAAGAATCCTTCGTTATCGAATCACCTCTACGAACAGTGACCGACCTATACGAAACGACGATTACTGAGCGCGCTTTGCGCGTTCGCGGAGCTAATGGCTTGATAAGAGCCACGGGGATGAAAACGAAACGCCTACAACGATTCCAAGTTTCAACCACCGACGGTAGGCGATCAGGGAACGGTGAATATAGACAGAGGATATGCGAACAAGGAATTAGTCAGAGGACGTCTCTCTTGAGAAAAATACCGTTCACTGCCAGGATAGACGAGTGACTGGTCGCTCCAGCCTTGTTGGACGCCGAGCACGTGTACTCGCCCGCGTGTCTCGCGGCGACTGATTCGATGCTGAGGATGCTATTCTTTCGCGTGGTCGCTAGGATGTTTATATCGGAACGATCACGGCCGATTGGTTCGCCGTTTAATGCCCATGTGATCTCGATTGGCAAGTCGCCCTTGAGGATGGCGCACACCACGGAAATCGAATCGCCCCAATTCGCCGGCTCCTCGGTGATCGCGAACGGAGCTATCTGCGGAGCGACTGCAAACATTCCACCCGATTGTTTCGATTGCTGATCACGGAAACGTACTCGAAAACCTTATGAACACCTTTCACAAAAATGAGACTACGAGAGCAGAGAGGGATCGTTTCGCGGGCGAGAGGATTGAAAAAGGAAGGGCGCAGTATTGGTATTTGTTAGTCGTTCCGAGTGTCTACTGTAGGTACCGTTAACTGTCAACTCCGCCGAATAGCTGGTAGCGCCGGCTGCGTTCGAGGCGACGCAAGTATACGTGCCCGCGTGATTCGGACTGGCCGAGTCAATGGACAGCAGGCTGTTCCTTTTGGTGGTAGTCACAGATATTCGATGACTCTTGTCGATCGGGCTTTCATTCAATGCCCAGCTGATCTCGAGCGGGGAATCACCGCTGACCACGGTGCAGACTGCCGATACGGAATCTCCCCAGTTCACGGCCTCGTCAGCCATTTCGAACGGCGCAATGCGCGGCGGTACTGTCGACGTGACAACACTGCTATGGATTGTACGAACACCGAGAGTGTCGACGATGCAATGGAAAAATCGTACACATCTGATATATGTCGGATACCTAAACGATATATCGCGACGGGGAGAATCGTCTAAAAAAATCGAACGGGACGATCAAGGAATGTCGTTCAACGTTTACCTCCACCCTCTGTGGCGCGCGATTCGTCGCATACCCCCGGTAACTGCGCACAGGCCGACCAACCTCCGGTGATGGGCGTTCGAATCTCCGTCTCGACGAGCCTCGTCGTTTCGAATATTCTTCAAGGATAACTGCTGAATAGTACTCGAAGCGACGGGAATGTTTGTCGTGCTACCAACCATCCAATCGGTTCACCCAATCGTTACAGGCCAATCAAACCGTACCGTTTACTGACAGAACCGAAGTGTGCGAGGCGGATCCGGCTGCGTTGATCGCGGTGCACTTATACTCGCCCGCGTGTCTTGCCGCTACCGAGTCTATCGTCAGGGTGCTGATCCGTTTGCTACCTCTGCTGACGACGATATCCGGCGTGTCGTAACCATGATCGCCGGACACGCGTCCGGCCTCGATCGGCCGACCATTCAGCGACCAGAAGATCTTGAGCGGCAGATCGCCCTTGATCACCGCGCACTGAACCGTTGCCATTTCTCCCGCGTTGGCGGCTTCGTCGCCGAACGCGAACGGCGCCAATTGTGGACCGACTGGAACGTTCCAAGAGAATTTTTCAATCGCGTGCAGGAGCTTCCGGAGAAGGGATTTCGACGTTGACGGTATTGCGCGCGATGAATCATAAACGACGATGTTAGACCGTAATAGATTGTCGAATAATAAGGGTGGGAACAGTCGAGCGTGACCCTGGGAAAGAGTACATTCCGAGTTACTCGGGGATCGGGATGCTGGGGTATGAGACAACGGTGTACAAGAACCAACAGAACTGTAAAAACTGAAAAAGCGAATAAGGAAGAACGTGAAGAGAAACGGAAAACATGGACCATCGTCTCGCTGTATCCGCGGGATGGACCGTGTTCTTACCTGCCGTCGTCTCTGACGATAATCTTACCTTCCCGGAACGGTACACGAGGATCGACATACGTGTTTGCGTGTTCGATCATCGGCACGACGACGGCAGTGGCCTTCCATACAGATTATACACTATGAAGATTACTGCGGAAAACAAGAAGTTACGAGAAAAAGGAAGTATACTGAGAGTAAAGAAAGCGATTGAAAAACGCGCCGATCGATTCTCCGTCTGCGGTGAATATTCTCTGGAGCGCGGGGAGCGAGTCACGAGCGACGCTGGTCCGTGAATAATTTCTCTGTTCCTGTTACCGTTTCCGGTACGTTGCATATGAACACGCTGAAAACTCGCTCGCCGCGCTACTGCGATCGATATTTGCGTTCCCGCGATCGTCGACGCGTTTTCCAACGGCACCGGCACAAGATCGCAAAAGTAATAAATTGCTGAACGAAGGGGAGGCGGTACCATTGACCGAGAGTACGGCGATGTGACTGTCGGACCCAGCGGCGTTCGACGCGGTGCACTTGTATCTTCCGGCGTGCCTCGCCGCCACGCTGTCGATGCTCAAGAAGCTGACCCTCTTATTAGTTACAATATTTACGTCCGGTCGGCTCGAGTCTATCGGGGTGTCGTCGAACGTCCATGTCAAGTTCACCGGGAAGTCGCCCTTGACGATCGTGCAAGAAACCGACAGCATCTCGCCGGAGTTGAGGGGATCGTCGCCAAAAGAGAACTGGAGGATCTGTGGCGCGACTGCGTGAGCGACACGGCAGCATGGGCGAAACGATGCGGACGTGAGACAGAACGGAATAACAATCGACCGAGGGAAGGGCGCGGCACCTACGTGAGCTAGACCATCCCCTAACGAGAAACTCCGGTCGCAGCCGCGGACTCACAGATCCGAGCGTCGATCGTGTGAAAACGTATCGATTCTATGTATTAATCCTCTAGCATTGCTACTGGATCGAACTAGTGTTAGGGGCTAAAATAGCATACGCGATGGGACACCGAGAACTGAAGGAAAGGAAGTGGCGATTGTTAGGATTCGGGTACGTTTAATGTTCAGGACGATCAGAGCTCCGTCGATATGAGGACAAGTGAAGTTAGTCTAGGATACACAAAATAATCTACACATGTACCGTTCACGGTCAGCTGAGCTGAGTGCGACGTCGCGCCGGCACGATTCGACGCGGAGCACGTGTACTCGCCGGCGTGTCTAGCCGCGACCGACTCAATAGTCAGCACGCTGTTTTTCTTGTTTGTGCTCGCTACGACCACGTCGGATCCATGGTTGCTGCCGATCGGAGTCCCGTTAAAGGCCCACGAGATCTCGAGAGGCTGATCGCCCTTCGCCACGGAGCAAGTCACGGAGACCAGTTCGCCCCAGCTGGCCGGTTCGTCGCCGAACATGAAGGGCAGTATTTGCGGGGCGACTGGAAGCAACGACTAGAAGAGTCGAAACGGAGGAGGGAGCGAGTGTCGATTCACGTGCAACGTAGCTAAAACCGAGGCTGTATGTATTCTACGCTCCCTAACGACGGTGGGGTTGGTATGGCGGCGAAGATATATGACCAAAATGCAATAGAGGGATGAAACATTGTTCTGAAGGAATGGAAGATGACCAGAGATTAGGACATATCGGGAATGATTGCTGATGATAGAAGTTGAAATTACAGGAGTAGAGAGGATTAACAGGCCGTTGAAGGGGAAGTCGTACCGTTCACCGTTAAGGTCGCTGATCGACTGACGGAACCGGCAAGATTCGATGCGGAGCAGACGTACTCTCCGGCGTGTCTTGCTGAGACGCCGTCAATGCTAAGGGTGCTCAGATGTTTGCTGATTCTGGTGATCGTGATACTAGATTCTTTCGAGTTGTCGATTGGCACACCGTTGAACGACCACGTGATGTCCATGGGCATGTCACCCTTCAAGATCGAGCATGGCACGGATACGGAGTCCCCAGAGTTGGCAACCTCGGCATTGAACGCGATCGGTAGAAGCTGTGGTCCAACTGAACAGTAGATCGTACAACGAAATTGTACATGAGCAGACGAGTTTCGCTGCGCGCTACTGGTCCTGTGTGTTCTCTCTCTCTCTCTCTCTCTCTCTCTTTCTCTCTCTCTATTGTCCGTTTCTGGATCGATCGAGTGAACGAGGGGTCGTACGACGTGGACATTGGCGGAAACATATGTGGGTTCTCGATTGCGGGACGTCTGAGGATGCAAAAGAGTGTGTAGGGTACGCTACGGTGCTCTTTGCCGGGATTGTGCAGAAATATAACGAAATGAAGAACGAACGGAATAAAAAAAAAGAAACTAAAGGAAAGAAAAACGAAACGAAAAACTGTATATTCTCTAGGAACGCATGATAGTAGCCCGAACCATTGACGGTGAGCGTAGTCGAGTGGGACGCCGTTCCAGCCGCATTTTCAGCGGTGCAAACGTACTCGCCCGCGTGTCTCGCGGTGATGACTGAAATCATGAGCATGCTAACGCGATCCGCGACCTTCTTCGCAAGTACGCCGGAGGAACCGCCCATCTCTTCTCCGGGATAGCTCCAGCGTATGTTCAACGGCAGGTCACCGGTCGGTACGATACACTGCAGGTTTTCGAACTCTCCGGCGTTCATGGGCAGCTTCGCGAACGAGAACTGCTGTATCGTAGGCGGCACTGAGGGTGGAGGATCGATGTATGGACGTATGATGACAGGTCGCGGGCGTATATGTTTATGAGCGTGTGCGTGTCGTAAGGTCGTGTGTGATCGAGTAGATGTCAACGGGCTGGCTGCATCCGTCACGAAATTACGATACTGGTCTTGATAACGCGGACCTCACTGTCGATCAGCGATTCCTCTTTTTTCGGGCGGAAAATTTGCGGGGGGAAATGTTTTAATGAAATTTCTGACGGCACGCAGTCAACCCATCGATCGCCGACATGTACAGCGACACGGTACTCTGTAGAGCAACGGTTACCGTGAATGGTGGACGCGTGAAGAGAGAACAATTCTGACAAGAATGCACCAGATTTCTTACGGTCGATCGTCGGCCACCGCCATACCAACTTCCAACATTCCAACAAAAACGCTCGAACCCTTTTCCGAGGTGTTCTCGCGCTGTGTGAGATAGCGTTCGTAATATATCTGCGACGGGTTCGTTGTCCGTGTGCGTATTCGCATCCATGTCCGTTTGCGTTCGCGGATTCTCGATTCACGCACGTTTTTCTTTTCTCTTTTTTCGTACGATTCACGCGGCTCTCGGTTCGACCGTGATATTCGACGGGACGTGACTGACCCTATCGACACACCGTCGATACGGGCTTCGCTGAAAGAGTCGTTACAGCTGTAATAGGACGTTGAATGCTATCGTGAAACATTCGTCGGATTTAACAGCTGGATACCTGTAAAGAATGTTTTACGCGGGTTCCCGTTTACGATTCGCGTTCGTTCCGATTAGAACATCTTTTTCAAAACAACCTGCAATTCGCATCGTGAATGGAGGATGTATTCAATCCTCTTTTAATTGCGGTACTGACGCGGAATACATATTTAATGAAGCTATTCTGTAAAACGTTTACCGACAAGGTGACTCTACGGAATGAAGAATTTTTCCGCGCGCGATTAACGATTCCGGACTGTCGACATTGAAACGCACAGAGCGAAGAAGCATCGAACTTACCCATGACTTGGACTTCGAGCGTTCCTCTAGCGCTGTAACCTTGGGCGTTCCTTGCGACACACGTGTACGTTGCCTGATCACTCATTCTCTCGACGTTCTCGATGATAAGCGTGCCATTGGGGAAGACCTTCTGCTTCCTGTTGATCGGCAGAACTCTGGTGTCTCGTTCCCATACGATGCTTTCGATCGGATATCCGGCGACTGGGCAGGTCACGCGAAGAGTCTCACCAGCGACGATAGCCTTTTTGTCCATGTGGCGGATGAAGGGGAGACCGTAGACATTCAATCGGGCCGAGTGTTCCGCGGATCCAACCTGTAATCACGGGATCAATTGACTTTTGTTATCCGTCACCTCCTTTTATGCGAAAAAGAAAAGAGAAGAAAAAGAAAGAACAAAAAATCATGCTCACCTTCGATGCTGCAATGCACTTGTAGAGTCCGCCATCGTTGGTGTGAATGCTGGAGATGTTCAGATGAGATACCACGTCGCCGTTCACAGTAACGTACTGTCCGACCTGAAGCCTGTCCGTGTTGGAGAGTCGTTTGCCGTCGAGTTCCCAGGTGATCTCAGGTGTTGGGTTGCCACTGGCGACACATTTCAAGAACATGCTGGGTCCGGGCTGGAGAGTCTCTTCGGAGAATGCCTGACGAATTTGTGGGGGCTCGACTGTGGATGTAAAAAGGTTTAGTCTTAACGAACGTCATCTTGAAACTTTGAGAACCCATAGGATTATTCACAACATGAACTCACATCTTCCACCAAGTTTCAGTTCAGCCGTTGCCTGTGCGCTTTCCTGGTCATTTCTAACAAAGCATTGGTACATTCCTTTGTCCTCTTTCTTAACACTTTCAATTCTGAGCACTGCTTCCTCCAATCCAAGGGGCTTGCCATCCTTCAGCCATGAAATTGTCTTAATGGGGTTTCCTCGAACGTTGCAAGTGAAGGTTGCTGGTCTGCCGAAGTCAATAGTCTGAGTGCTGGGTTCGATTTCCGCGGCCAATGGAGCAGTCACAGTCAGTACGGTTTCAACGCTTTCGCCACCCACGGAGTTGTTCACAATGCAGAGGTATTTGCCGGAATCTTCAACGCGAGCCTCACGGATGATCAGAGTTCCACTAACTTGACGGACGCGCTCATTTAATTGGACTGGTTGACGACGTGATGAGCCCTCGATGAACTTGTACCATCTGGAACGAGAGTGCAAGGGGGATTTTGCTTTGCGGGCTGGCTGCTGAAAGGAAGCTTTTTAAGGCTACATGAAACGAAGCCACTGGAAATCGATGATTGTTGATTGTTCGCTGAGAATTGATTTCTAGTGCATATTTCTAGTCGCTTTGTTTCATACTGGTTTCAATTCCTAGTTTTTTATGTACACTTATGTCCACAAGTCACCGGACACTTTGAGATTTAGAAGAGACATTGATGTTATGACCACAAGACATAAAGAATGTGCCATGTACACACGTAGGATTTAATGCGGAAATGTGCTCGCAATAGGTTTGACGTGATTCCGCTGCGAACATATTTCAGGATTAAAATCCGTATGTTTACGATGTGGGTACAGATTGTACATAGGTTGCGACAGATAACGCTACATCAAGTTTTGTTAGACATCATAGATTCATCTTTTATACAGAACAATGTTCCGTTTAGAATTATAATTTTAAGAATTTGTAGCTAATTTTAACGACAGTTAATAATCGTGTAAATAAAATATTTTTGAGATTCGAAACAAAAATTAATACCATGATATAATGACGGCACGTATCTGTTTTTGTGTTCGTAGCAAATATATCACGCAAAAGTTAAATTAACATTACATTAAGAAGTCAAGTTTAAACTAACATAACACTATAATGGGAAACGAATTAAAAAATAATAACGGTCCCTGTTCAATCAAAATAAAAAAATTTCCTTTGCAACGATACTCAAAATCGCCATTTTCAGCGCAGACGTATTATACTTTTCTTTTACTTGTTTATACCACATTTACCCACGCTTCCAATATAGTTATATTAATTTACATGTTTACACGTTTTCTGCAAGGAGTCACAGACCAATAAAAATCGTTTTTTCAACTAGTTGCGCGCGAAGACAGCGCGGCTGTCCTCGTGCAGCAACTCAACGGACAGCTGGGTAACAGCTTTTGAATAAAAATGAAATACGATAATGAGATCGCATCGAGAGTGGAAAAAAACGAACTTCGGCTCGCATTTGAATTAGCAAGTGTCTGGTGTCTCGTAGACGGCAGTGTAATATGGCAGGGCTTTGGGCGTCTCTGGGCATGGGCTTCTGTCTCTACTGCCGGCTCATTAGCACGTGTCTCGCGCAAACTTAATCAGAAAGAAGGAGAGTTTCAACGCAGCTGGAGCATAATACAGCGGTCATAAAAGCAGAGCAGGTCGGGAGAACGGTTTGGAGTGAGGAGGCTGGCAGCGGCAAGTTCGTCACGATCGGAAACAAAAAGTGCTGTGGGGGAAAGAGAGGCACTGCTTGGGTTGCACGCGTACTCTGGCAAGTGATTCGCACAGTACCTAAAGGGGAGAAAGTGAGAGGGGATCGTTGGAAGCGTGACAGCGACAGAGCAGTGTTATTTCTACTCTCGATTATCGAGACACACGGTGCGTGACGCCTTCCCGAACGATCATCCACGGTATAGACACACACCGGCATTGATCACGGGAAGGAGGCGAGTGGAATGCAACGGAGACAAAATGAGAGGAGGATCGGTCGAAGACAAGGTTAAAAATCCGCTCGAAACGAAAAACAAACTTCCACGATGACCGTGCGCGACGCAGGACACGAACGAACCCGTCGCTGTTTCAATGAAAAAGAATCAGGGATAGAGATGGTGGAGCGGAGATGGTGATTGAGCGACGCATGTGACGATGGTACAGCAACTGAAGACAATATGCGACACGAACACGAATCACGAACACTTCTGGCGAATGAGAGAAAGAGAGGGGGGCGTGGATGGGTTGGGTGGAGTGAAAAACACGAACGGATGAACGGAGGCACGAAGGTGGCGAGGACTTACCAGCCAGATATCGTGGGACTTATTGGAGGTGTGCAGGTGCAGGGCAACATTGTTCGCCCCATTGATCGGGTGACACCCTCGCGGACCACCCTGATCAGCACCGAGGTTACCGAAGGAGAAGAGGGCCCGCATCCTTTTCGGAGTCGCGCTTCCGTCACCTATCTCGGGGTTGCGTCACGGGGCTCCTGTTGGCACTGAAAACCAACACGTCCGATTGGCCCCCAGTACAGAACACTTTTCCATCTTAATTCAACGTTCCTTCGCTCTCGTCCCATTTTTCTCTTCTCGATCACGTAACCGTCCAAAGTTACACCCGCGAACCCGGTTTCTGAACTTAAATCGAGGCGAACGATACGTAAGTCTAACGACGACACCACGTCCTACATGATCGTTACTCGTCGATCTAGCCGCCCTCCCAGCCGTCTCTATTGATTGTTCATGACATCAACGGTCGATGGAATCTTGGATCAGTGCTATCCATTCTTTGCCTGCTCACTTTTCCCTGGTCTTTTATTCGAGGCTATCTTTGTCCTCGCTCCCCTATCTTTTATATGCTTGGCAATTGACTTTCGTTTCTTTTCTTTATTTCTCTCTCTCCCTTTTTCCCTTTTTCTCTTTCTCTCTCTCTCTCCATTTTTCCCTTTCTCTCTT